CTAATAATGGACAGTGCAGGCATAGACCACACTGTAATGTATATTGTAGGGGAATATGGTAATAGTCTGAAATGGCAATTCTCCTAAATAAATAGCACATCAACTTACTTAAACCTAATCATAAATGGGACAAATTGGACCCATGTGCAAACAGAAACCTGAGCAGAAGGCAGGAGTTAAAGAAGCCATTGTTTCCCAGCCTGACCCTGGGCAGAGAAAGCCTGTGTCAGGTTACATCTGTTAAAATGATTCTAATGCCAGCCCAGTATTTTAATTATAAATATATAAAACATTTAATAAGAAGACATTCTGGGCTTACTAAGCCTTTAAAAACTGGATGTGGGCGGGGTGGGTAGAATGGTATTCCATGTGCCCCAGACAGAGTGCCAGCGTATAATGATTGAATGTTTTCCTGTAATAAATTGAAAAAATCTGGTTTGTAAGAATGGATCCAAATCACTTGGCATTAGAAAGGTAATTTGTTACCTAGCTTCCTCTTGGAAACGGGCTGCATCCAAGTTTGCTAGAACTAAGTTTCTAGGGACTGCGGTGTCCAAAAAGAGAAAGAAAGAGCAACCAGGATGCCTATGGCTCTGGTGCCATACACACACACACAGGCACATATATTCTCTGTTATTTCTGCCTCTCTTTTTTTTTTCTTTTTGCCTGGGTTTTGCAGCCCTCCCTCTCATGGCTCCGAACATGAGATTCAGCAGCCAAAAAAAGAAGGAAAAAAAAAAAAAAAAAAAAAGAGGTTACTCAGGACAAAAGCCAGATCTATAGCCACCTTCTTTGTACCTTTCCAAATCTCAAGCCTGCTTAATTATGATTAATTGCCACATGGATAATCAGATACAGTTTCAAAAGGTTGGAGATGACAGTCCAAGGACACCAGGGAAGAAGGAAGGTTCGCCTTTGTTACAAGAAAAAAATACCAGGTCCCTTCCTCTGCCCATAACCTTTTCTTATTTTAACAATTCCAAACGGAATTAATACCATCAGTACATTGTTCCCGCTCCTGGGAATTGAACTTCAACTGTACAATTTCTGCAGCTGTCAGTTTTTTCAGACCTCCTGTCAATAACGCAATGTTGGGGTGCCCTTCTTCTTGAATGAAAGCGGTTTCAAGTTTCTGCTTTATGTCTGTGCTTTCTGGGTGGTGCGACATGATGAGAAAGTATAAAAAATAATAACAGCAGTTAAAAAGCTTCCACTCTTGACTTAACTGGATCAAATGTAATAGACTACAGTCTTTTCTCCCGATTTCCTTTGCTTGTTTTAGAAAACACTGTGAAAAGTGCAGGAGATTTTGTCTTGCCAGCTCTTTCCTCCATTTAAAATCCCTTTGGCTAAGTCAAGGATCACAGTATGTCATTTCCAGCCTAACAGAAGTGCTGGGCCTTGTTCAGCTCCTATTACTAGGAGGCAAATCCCTAGGTTGCAGGCGCCAGTGTTTCTGCGCTTGGCTCACTTCCCAGTATTGTTTCCTTCATTACATTCCAGAGTGCCTCTCAGCCAGTTAATGTTTGCACTGGGAGGTCCAAATATCCAGCAATCAGCACTGAACTTTTCTCTTTTTGTTGAGAATTGCAGGTTTCAAATGCAATCACTGGCTTTAAAGGAAAACTTACAGGTGAACACAACAGCACTAATTTCCATTTTATTCACAAACAGTTACATTTTCCACAGTTTCTCCACGCGTGCTCGTAAAAGGGTTTCAGGGGATGTCTGGCTTTTTCAGGGCTGGAATTTCATTAGGGATTTTGGTGTGGATGTTGCCCTCCCCGCACCTCTTGCAGTGCTTGCTTAACGTGGGTGCTCCCACCCACAGCCCTCCTCTCACTGGGGCTGCTGGCAGCATCACAGCATCCTCCTTGGTGCTGAAAATGCAGCGAGCTGAGAACGGATGAAATAATTTGGATCACAAAGAGGGTCAAAGCATTCGCTCGGACTTTGCTCTCTGAGAATCTTGGCTTTACTACATGGCAGACTGGGGGTGGCCCCCAGGGCAGCACCCTGCTTCTGCCACCCCTATAAGCACAGAAATCCCAATAAAGAGCAAGAAAGCATTCTGAGCACTGACCACTATTTTCAGGCTGTACCTCAGGCAATTTCAACTCTCCTTTAGGAAGACTTTTGATGAGGCAGCCCCGTGTAATTTGCTCACTGTGGGTTTGCTCTTAAGTTTTGGAGACCGAGCCGTGGGTCGCAGGCTTGATGAAGCAATTAAAAAGTCCACAACACTTCTTTGTGGGGAAGAAAAAAGATCAACAACAAAAAAAGCGCAGATTGGGAAATCCTCAGTGTTTTCCATAAAGCCTCCAGCTATGCTTCCACCCATGATCATATGTCATATGGATGGTGTCATAGCGTCCTAAGGGTGCTAGCTTGCGGCGATGATATCAAATTCATGGAAGTGTATATGCTCAGAGAGAATACTAATGTTAACTCAGTCTAAATAACAACACTGCCAAAGGAGGAAAGCAAAAGATGAAATACAGTGGATTTCAGGAGGCAACAAGCTCTCATTTATTAAGATCACAGGCATTTTACAGGTTACAAATCATAAAGCAGAAATAACTTCATAATATACAGGTCAGGAATGTGTCTGGGATATTGAGGAACTATTTCCTTGGCAATAATCTGCCACAGATAGTCAGGAGCGTGCATTTTCTGGCTCAACAAATCACTGCTGATTAATTTTGTCTGCCTTTGTCTCAGAGACGCAACAAGACACTTTGCCGTGTACACCGCTCTCACTCTGCTTCCACAGTATTCTTGCTCAATGCATAATTTTTTGCAAGATAGACCAAACACAATACGCTTTGTTTTGCCTCTTTGACATCGCTTTTGCCTGAGCTCAGTGTGCAGTGCCTGTGTGTGATGCAGGGGATGTGGTTGACACCCCCAAGGCCCCCAGTGGGGCTGATCCACCCCTGTGTGAGCCCCATGAAGCCACCTATAAGCAGTGTGCTTCAGACACTTCAATTCCTCTTGAAGGGCTGAGACCTTGTGATTACAACTGGGTGCCTGAGCCAGCAGCCAGCAAGGAACTTTTCCTCTCTGGGAAGCAGTCTTGGTGATGAATTCCAGCTCAGGTAGTGGAAATCCCTGCAAGGAGGGAAACTGGAATTCCTCACTTGACCAGCAGGAAGCTCAGGACTGGATGCAGCTGCAATGTGGAGGGAAGGTCCTTGGCATTGTCCTCTCCTGCATTTATGTATTGCATTGGATAATGGTCTGCTGCACAGAGGGGCTTCCAGCATCCCCTGAAGGACAATAGATAAATACCAAATGCAATGTCAGAACTGCATGTTGTCTGAGCACACCTCCTGATTTCTTGGAGTTCCTACAGGTTTGAAAAGATTCTCAGTCCCACCCTGGTTATAATGAACCATTCTGAAATAGGCTGTGGGGAGCCCACTGATACCCATGTATCTCTGTAAGAAGAGAAAATGAATAAGTTCTGCTCCTGGGTTGCTTCTTCTCTAGAAGCACAAGTGGGGAAGTCTCTGCTGCCTTATGGTGTCCATGGCAATTCCTATCTTACACTAGGAACCTGGAGGAGCTCTTGGTGGAAGGCCTTCACAACTGTGGCCAATAGGAATCTGGCAAGGTTATTTCTTTCTCTCTCTACCTAATTTATTTTCCTTGGGATTGAAGTCATCACAAAAAAATAGTATTGCTGTTATGGCTTCTGCAGTCAGTGTTCGCCTCCTATCCACGTTCCCCAAGCTCCCACCTTCTTCCTCATCTCTTTCTCCCTTCAGAATTATAAAACCCAAAACAATGTGTTCATAACATTTCCTCAAATTCCCCAAAAAAATGAAATGAAAACAAACAGCTAGCAGATGCTGATTTTCTCACTTAACTGCACATATTTTATAGCAATTCTCTCTGATTTTCTCCCAAGACATCCACCTGACCTTCCTTTCTCTCCAATCTCTCTCAGCAGTGGCCAAACACTGCTAATCGTGTGATACTCAGCCCGTGGAAATAGGCTGCAACTAAAAGAAATTTACCCTCTGACCTCAAGGCCTTGTGCGTACAATAGAGACCACGGCATGTCTTTGCTAAAAGGAATGCATTTTCCTTGGCGAAAACTGATTTTATACCAAACCAAATTAATACTATGAAGAGAATGTGGTTTTGTTTTCAGTTGGCTTTTTTTTTTGTTGTTTTTGTTTTGTTTTGTTTTGCTTTGTTTCACAAAGGCAATACAAACAGAATTAAACCCGTTTGGTGATTTTACAATGAAGAATGACAAAATACATTTTCCAAGAATTTTGCAGGAAGTGGGAATGGAACACGACAAGTATTTTTGCTTCTCTCCACAAAACTGCAAATGCTTTACAAGCACAAGCTGATGTTGAATTAGTGTGCTGTGATGAAGAGCAGGCATCAGTTGGCCCAGAAGTTTCCAGTGTTGTCCATAGACAATGTAGCTTGGAGAGCATCTCCGGAGAGTGTCCTTCCCCACTGCAGGTGGGAGCCTGAAGTCTCTGTGGTAACAAAAGTAATAATCTATGTAGGAAAAACAAAAAAAGAGTTTGGAAAAAAAGCGTTGAAACAAAATGTAGAGTCCTTTTTGTTCTGGAAATAAGAAGGAATCTCAGGCCAGCCGTGAGCAGAGCTGTGCGCTGAGAGCTGGACACGATACGATGCGGTGGCTGAAGTGGAGCGTCTTGTTCACACACCAAGTCTGTTGCAAGATCTGGGAACAGAACTTTTCTGCCTTTCCCATCCACAAAGAGCAAAGCTGATATTTTTCAGTCTAGATTATTATTTTCTTTCTTGGATTAAGGAAAACAAAAATGAGAGAGAAAGAAAATCAGTGAGTCATTGCAGTTTCTTTGCTGAAACACAGCTGCCCTTGTCACAGGAACAGAATTCTTAAAGCCTGCATCCAAAATTTATTGCAAAATAAATCTGAAACTTTTAAAAACAAGGAGGCTAAATGATGTTTCTCATTCTTTTTTAATTTGTATTTGTGAGTGTAGGTCCAGACTCCAGCCAGAATCAAGGGTAGAGCTGGAAACAGGAGAAACAAAGTTCTTGTGAAATTTTCAGACAAATTTTGGAAGCCCACACAGCCTACACTGGTTGGACAAGCTTCAAAATAAGTACACGCTTCTCAAAGCTTTGATGCATCTGGACCTTGTGGGATTTCTGCCGTTGAAGGTCAGCTTCGCTACACCCACACCACCACTCAAAGGTAATATCGCATTTCTTTGTTGGGTACTGCTGTTGAAAATGTTCAAAAAGTCCAGCCATCCCAATTCAAGAAATAAAATCCGTGTGTAAAACTCCGCCAAAATTCAACGGTGCAATATTTTAATTTTAGGAAAAAACATCCCTGCTTTGGCCTGATCTTTCTGCCTGAGAAGCACTGAGACCTTGCTTTGCTGAACCTTGAATTGCCACCTCTATGATGCTTGCAGTTTCCCCCATTTGCATAGTGCCACGTTTCTCTGGATGAATTTGCACATTGGCAATAAACCTGCCTTGTTCAGGAAAGCTGGGAAACCTGCTTAGAAGCGACACTCAATGGATGGATCTGTGCCTCATGAGCCTAAAGTCCGAGCTGCCTAACAGAAGAACCCAACCAGCACCACACAGTTCTCATGGAGAAGGAGTGGATGTGCGTGGGGAGTCCAGGGGAGGGCTTCAGAGAGGGGCTTCTGCTCATCCTGACTGTAATACAAGAAAAATGGTGCTGTGTGAGTAAGTCAAGTGTGGCCGGTGTTTGCAGCCACCCCTTCATTTAATGAGAAAGCTCAGGAAGCAGAATGTCCTGAGAGTGGGCAGGAGGCAGTTCAGGGGACAGTGTGAGATGGAAGGGAGGATGGATGACGTGATTTTGCTTCCAAACTACATCTCTTTAACTATCTTTAGTTACATTTATATTTAATAGGATAGCAACAGTTGGGCTGAGTTTTTTATTTTTGTTTTCTGAGTAATTTGAATTTCCAAGAGGTGTTGTGTTATATATTTTTTTCTTAAGACTTTGTGACCTTCTTCTGTGAGCTTATTTTAGACCTAGTGGAATGTCCCAGAGAAAATTCCAAATGGTCCTTAATACATGAACTGTTTCCAGAAAGGAGAAATTCTCAGTGGACTATGAAACTATTTTTCAATCATGGTGTATGGCACACAAACCACAGCTGAATTGGTTTTTGGTTGTTTTTTTTTTTGTTGTTGTTGTTGTTTCTTTTTTTTTGTTGTTTTTTTTTTCAGTAGGAAACTATTGCCCAGTGGGTTAAAAGAAAATAAAGGATAATGGGATTTTTCCGTAAGGCTAGAGCCGTTCACAGGGGTTTCCTCCCCACTAGATGTCACTGGAACTGTTTGAAATGTTTGGAACAACCAGCCCCAAACTGCCCAGGTTCAGAGGCTTGTTACAAACATGAGACTTGGAACAGGTTTCTTTAGAGCTCTGCTCTGGTTCATATGCTTTTCTCAGGCACTGGACTGGGAAATGGGTAGCCATAGGAGGTTCAGGATTTGGTACGGATTTGGGGACAAGGTAGGTGAAACTCATGAAGCTTGGTGTTGTGCTTGGAGATTTCAGTCTTCCTTGGGCAAGCCAAGAAGACTCAAAGTCAATGCTTGGCTGCCACCATCATTTGGCTGGGAGGCATTCAGAGGAAGAGCAGGGTCATGCAGGACGCAGGTGGGAGCAGCCTCTTCCCCTTACAGCAGCCTGTGGCTGGGGCTTGGATTCTAATATAATATTCCGTAAAACCAGAGAAATTCTGACAGCTCTTGCAGTTAAATTCTCCATGTCTCTCCTCCTCAGGAGTACAGATGTTAACTCCCGAGGAAAGCAGCTCCTCAGATTATTAGGTCTACTATTTAAATTCTCCCTGTAGTTCCAATCGACTACAGGAATCTTCTTCCATTCTTATTCAAAATTCAGTTTAGTGTGATTATGTGGCCATGCATCAAATATGGCAGTATAATATGTCCTTTCATCTACTTGCCATAATACATCCCTTTTAGTGCCACATAAATCCCTGAAAATATTGCTGTCTTCTGCTCTTGAGATTCTTCATGTGCCTCTTTGCCTTACTGCCTTCCTCTTCTATTGTTTCTCCAAGCTGAATTAATTCTTTTTTTTTCTCCCAACCTGGCTGCTATGCTGTAGCCCTGCTTCTGAAACAGCAATGCTTCGAGGAGGAGAGGAGCAAGCGAGATCTGTCCGAGCAGCTTTGACACAGCAGCTTTGACTACCTTCATTAATTAGTGCTCCAACGGCATCAATTCAGCACAACCCACCTGTAGGCACAGGCGGCTCACGAGACACACACACAACAAAAGAGGGTATATTCCCTTACACAGCTTGAGTATTAAGTTGTTATTATATTAAGCCAGCAAACTTTCAACTCGCTCAATATTCAATACATTTAAGAAAACGAATTGAAGATGCTTGCCTATTTTAATATGTACTCCTGAAGACATTTTCCAGTTGTTTTTGTTTTTTTTTTACAGTTTAATTAGAGCCTCATGGCAATGGTATGTTTCTTTCTACCTACTATGCCAGTGGTTAAAAAATTACAGGGCTTCAAGTACCCTGCATGTCATTAAGTGCTCTGCTGAAGATAAAAGAGCAGTGATGCTTCTATCGCAACCGCTAGAGCAGGCAAGATTGAAAGTGCCCCATGCCCATGCCAGGGGAAGTACCCAGGAGTGGGAGTGATCATCCACTGACCCAGAAACCCTATTCGTGACCCTTCCTCTCACAGCCCACTTTGGGGTCTCATTCCTTCTGCCACACCTCCCGACAAGTGGAGGAGCTTCCTTGCCCCACCACTTCACATTACAAAATAGAGAAATCTCTGCATTAAGAAAGTCCTGGCAGAGTACATTCAGCACAGGACAATGCAGAGGAAGGTTACAAGTATATTAGGATAAGGGCACCACAATTGTATGAAGAAGTCTGGAGAGAAAAGATTACATTGTTCTGACAACAACATTTTTCAAACATTTAGACCTTTAATATCATTAATTTAAAGTACAAGATTAAATATTTTATGCAAATATTAGACAACAGCAAAGAGCTCCACATATTAGGATTTAAAACAAATTGAAAGCATGCAAGACATATTCATTTCTTAAGCAGTTTAGTTAAAAAATCGGTATTGTCTCTATTAGGATTAACTGACAGTAACTCTTTGTGTTCAAATGGATTTAACTTCACTCTGGTTTGTTTTCCAGATATCATTGTCCTCCAATAATCATGGATAAAGGGAAATGTAAAAGGACAGATCAAGTAAAAATATATCTTCACATCATAAACACAGAATTATGTTTAAATTTCATTACTAAATGGGATTTCAGCTTCGTATACCATGCCTAATCCTACACTATAAAAGATGTATAAAACCTCTTGACAAATTCTAACAGACTTTGTGGAAGTTGCATATATTGATTAAAACATCAAGCAGTTACATACAAACCAATAATGAATTACTTCTTGCTGGAAGATAAAACTTTGTGATATTTAAAATTACAGACTTGAAAGTAAGTAAAATTACCCCTAATTATGCAGAAGGGAGCAACACCTTAGCAGTAAACAAGATAAGCACCTCAAACAGCACTAATAATTTTAATTAACATTTTCTAGTTTCCTTTCACCTCCTTTCAAGGTCATCTGCTACCTTCTCCTGGTACAGCGTTACAGTGCGGTGTTAAAAACTTACATTCCCGTACTAAACACTTTGATAAGCCAAAAAATATTACTTTCTGGGAGGGATTCTTTTCTTTTCTTATTTAAAAAATTAAAAAAATAAAAAATAAAAACACTTAATTGTGTGCAAAAGTAAACACTGCATTGTGCAAAGCTGCCGGGGAGGTTTCTGCAGTGAGCTGCCTTCAGAAGTCAGAGCCCAGCAGCCGGGATTGGGCCAGACGTTGGGGCCTGACTCTGAGCACCAGAGGAAGAATTCTCCAGGGAACTCTGCCTGTGAGCAGAAACTCATTCATTTTTCACATGTAAATTTAAAAATGAGGGCTATGTTCAAACTGGGGGGTATTCGGATTGTAAAGTTCAAAAGACATTGAACTGTGAACACCGAAAATGAAAATTTGGCATAACTTGATAGTCTGTGCAGTTCTTCAGCTACTTTTCCTTGCACAGCAATTAGTAAATGAGTGCTCTGGAGATGACTTTGTTAAACTACTTCTTTCCTTCCTTAAAAAATCCAAAAGTTGGTAAGAAATGGGCTTTGTTATATCAGTGGGTTTGTTCCATGCCACAAATTTAATGTATGAGGTCACTCGGAATATAATGTGTAGTGAAAGAATCTCATTAGGCTAAAATGAATGTAAAATGTGTCAATTTGATCCAAATGAGAACTGTAGTAAAACCATGTTTGATGTTCATGTGCAATAAATCTTTAACATTTGTCTGTAAAGTATTAGAGAACCCATAGGGAAATCTCTATTTGTGATAGCTGCACATTTTCAATGATTTTTCCTGTAATCCTTTGTTGACATTTAGCATGTGGCAACGGAAAGGAAGGTCCTAAAATAAGAATTATTAATTATTATTCTAAGGTAAACAAGGTGGACACCTTGCCTCCGGCTGCTAGGGCTTGGGGAAAGGCAGAAATTGTGAATCCACTCTGTTGACTGAAAGTTGTCACTTCTGGGGGAAAACGTCAGAAACCAGCAGTGCCCTACCAGGCAGTGGGGTGATGGGCTCTGGTGGCCACATCCCTCTGGTTGGGTATATTTTGATATATTCATATTGTTAATTACTGTTGTATTTCAATTTTCTCTCTCGTATTTTTTGTTCGTTCATAATGGCTTCATGGTTCAGCGAACCGAAATGACTAAAATGAAAGATTTCCGAGATTTCTTCTGGGAGTAATTTACAAAAGACCTCAATTTTTTAATTGCTCCTGATGTTTAGTTCTGGATATCTGGAAGAGGAGAAATCAGCCCAACTCTTTTAGTTGCCACCCCAACCATATCGGAGACAGAGTTTTGATCTCTGTCTATGGCTTCGATTTCTGTGGCCCTCCATCCATATTTCGAGAACTGGCTTATAGCAATACCATGGTGTTTATATTTCTGCCTCTCACACTTGCTTTTGCAAGAGAATTACAAGCTATTCATGTCCTTTGAGGAGGCTCAGGAAATAATGGGTGAAATGTCAGAAACAATTAAGAAAAATAGAGGCATTTCATTTAAGAAATACATAACTTTTGCTGAATGGCTGAACTCGAAGTGCCACAAGATTGCTACAATATGAGCTCTGGCTCCTGATTATCATGAAGTTGTATAAAAAAAACAACCTTACAACACTCACATGCCAAAGGTTGCAACACAGTCTTTGGCAGGAAACACGAAAACACTCCAGCATGGGAAAAGTCTTCAAGCAAACTTGCATCTGTGCTGATTTACGTTTTTACAGCAAGCAACAGCCGCTTTCTGAAGGCAGTGAGTGACTATAGGGCATGGTGACACAGCCGTGCCCCACAGATACTCATCTCCTGGCCCTACCAGCCTCTGCTCGTTTGCCCATCTCGTTGCTGCCATGCAGGGCCGTTATCAATAAATGTGGTGTTCTTGGCCGGGTTTTCTTTGGCTTGCAGTCTGCTTTACAAAACCGCTGCATACTTGACAGTTTGCCCTAGTTCAAAATTCTTTGGTCAGAAAAAGCCCGGAGAATGAAACAGTATCTGGTGTTGTAAAATCTTGACCAGATTCTGAAATATTGCCTAAGCCCCTGTCAGCTCGAAGGTGATTTCTCCAGGTCATGGTTTGGGGGAATTGATGGCACAGTGCGCAGCCATGACTGCTCCGTCTGCACTACGTCTTTGTCGAGGGGGTGCGGGCTCACCTTTAGCACTCACTGCTTCCCCAGCCCCTATGGTTTTGACAGTACATTTACTTTCCTACACAGATTATAAGCTAAACGTAGGAAAACGAACCAAGAAAAAAACTTGTCTACCAACTGCATTTTCATTTCTCTATTTCTGCCTGAGGATTTATCGATTACCCAATAAACCAGAAAAAAAGTGCCACCTGAAGCTGAAGAAGAGATAATAATACCAGGTGCTTGCACCAAACTGCTCTCTTCAGCTCTCCCAGTACTTTTTCTGGTGGTGCAAGTCCATTTTCCATCTTTTACGATTGGAGACATGAGGCATAGGCCAAAGAAATAACGCACATGTGGTCAGAAATCCAAAGGTAAATCTGATATAATAGACAAATACCAATGTAGTGCTCTTCTTGGCTGTCCAGCAGCTCTAAAATTAAAAGCCATCACTCATGGCAGAAAGGGCCTCTTCTAGGGGGTGTAGTTTCTGTATGAGTCTTTAAACAATAAGGCTGTGGACCAACATAAAATTTGAATATTCTCATCATTGGACTACAGTAATTCATGTTCTTCTGTCAACAAGATCTTGACGTGCTTAGCCTTAAGCATCTGCTTAAAATTGTACTGAAGCAAAACACAGGCTTTGGTATATAGCCAAAGAAGGGTGAGAGCTTAAGAAGAGTCAGTCTAGATCATCCAGCTGTATAAATTATAAGTTATTACGTTAAAAGAAGTTCTATATATTTCTGGCATAAGCTCTGACTGTTACAGTTTTGTAGGGTACTGTCTCGAAGTTACAGCAGCCCTGCCCCTGCCTTCCTCCAGAGAAACTGAACTGGCCCCTGTAATACCTCCAGCTTAGTGACAACACTTGGAGTCTTAATTAGAAGAAAAAAGACCTACTTTTGCATTTTCCTTACCTACCCCAGGCTTTTCTGTACTGTGGTACTGTTTTTCTTAAAGTCTCACAGATTCATCTAGATTTGGGCAAGCTGGGAATGCCTGAAGGAGAAAGCATACAGGCTTTTGGAGTGAGAGTGCAGGACTGCTTGATGTTGGGCCTTCCCTACTGCTTTGGTTTAATTTGGTTTGCCTTGGCTTGCTTCAGTTTGCTTTAGGTTGGCTTGCTTTTTCTTGTTTTGGTTTGGATTGGTTTGATTTGGTTTTCTTTGGTTTGACTTGCTTCGGTTTGCTTTGGTTTGGCTTGGTTGTTTGTTTTTTTTTTGCTTTGTTTTGTTTGTCTGGGTTTGACGGCTCAAGATAGATTAATTCATTCAAAATTTGCTACTCTTTGAACTTCTGGGTGGATGGCAAGGGGATTTCCTTTTTGTGGGCATTGATTCAGCAATGGCTCCACTTTGATTGGACCTGAGAAGGAGGCCCCCAGCAAAGTCCTCTGGAGAGGCCACAGTAGGATATCAAACATCACACAAACATCATCATGGGAGCTCCTTGACATTGCTGTGACAAAGTCCTGGGGATAGAGCTGTGCCTCATTTGGCTCTCCAGAGATGATGCTGGAGATCAGGCTTGTTGCTCTTAGTATTTCAAACTATTCTTTTCCCTTAGTCTCACTTTATTCCACTCATTTAGAAACTCTTGACAGCCTTTCATCAAATGCTTCTAACAAACTCAAAGCATATCTAGCATTGGCACTAATAATTTAGTACTGTAATTTTATGGGCATTTTAAAGTTCCTGGGTATTACTATCATTTTATGGAATGGTTATTCCTCCTTTTCTTTGGTCTTTCTTCCTACGTTCAGTAGAATTATAGGTGAAATGTATTTCTTGGCTGCTGTTTCACCTTTTGTTCATACACTTAAATATTGTACTAGCTAAGGATTGCACAAGGCCCCCACATTAAAATTTTATTGTATTTTTGTATTTATTTTTGGCCCAGATCTGGAGGCCTCTCAGGCTCAGGATTTCTGTAATTTTATTGGTTTGTGGGTGGAGGAAAGAACAAAAATGAGGCTTGTGGCCAGTATGTTATCTTTGGCCATACACATCTATCTGAGGGTCCGATTCTGCTCTGGTTTTTAAGAATGTAAATCTCAAGCAGCTCCACTGAAAACAAACCAAAAAAAAATTAAAGCAATGTAAGACCAATGTAAATTAGTTGAGAATCACCTCCTTAGTGGATGCACAGTAAGCATTTTGCTATTTATGATGTAGCTGGGAACAGCTGACTAGCCTCTCTAAAGATAAGTGCCCTCTATAACTCAGTGGTGGGCATGTTTTTCTTCATTTTGACTAATGACTGCTAGTGAAGCCAAAGATGAAAATTGTTTTGTTTATTTTTTTTATTAATTATTTTTAATGAGTTCTAGCACCTGTAAGTAACAGATCGAAGAACAAAAGCTCGTCAAGATGAGAATTGCAGCTGAATTTTGGTGGCCTTGCTACTGAGTGAAAAGCACCTTGTTCTGCACTATTTCTTTGCTTAAAAACAATTGAATACAATTGCTAAAATTCATGGGATCCAGACTTAATAAGTTTTTTGTTTTTTTTTCTTTCAGTTATAGAGAACTGTTCATGGGACATCACATCCTCTGAGGTCTCCCCTGCCTGTCCTACAGCTCAGGGTGAATTGTGGCCATTACATCCCACACTCCTTCCTGCCTGGTTCACTGCCGTCACCACCATCGCTTGCTTTCCTCCCCCAAACCTGTCATTCTTTTGCCTCTTTGCACATTTCTTCATGTCAGGTCTTTGGCTTAGAAACGACTTCTCCTGTGAGCCAAACCTCCTTATTCTACACTTTAAAATCCTTATGAAATTTGGCTTGCCTTCCAAAACTAAGCCTCAGCTCCCTTGTTACTCTTCTAAATATAAAACATTTTTATTACATTAAGCTATGCTGAAAAAAAGTAGGAGAAAGAATAAGAAAAAAAGGAAAATCCCTGCACTAAGTGTGAAGAAAGTGTTCAGCATAGCAGCAGATCACGTCTTTTTGTTTTGTCTTGGTATCATCTTGTTTGCACATGCTCTGGGCTCACTGTCTGTATTCCTCCTTGTGTGCCTCCTGCACTGAAAAGCCCCCTAACAGTTGCAACAAGAGGAGTGGTTGCCAGGCTTAACTGGAGAGTTCTGGAAATGGGAAAAGCTGCCCCATTATCGATCGTGCTGCACTACTAGTCCTAAAGATAAACTTGTATCCTAGGGTATTCACTTAGCATCTTTCAACTACATTAAACTTCACTTTCTTATACAACCGAAGGCAAGTTTGAGATTAGTTATTTATATTTTTACAGGTCCATTTTGTTCATTATTTCCAATGTAATTTTAATCATTTCAACAAAGAAGTGGCTTAATATTCCCAATAATGGCACTTGTTAGTTTAAATATTAAAATTCGCATTAGAAATTCCCTTGACTACGTGTGCATTATTTGCATTATAGATCGGATGCGTCTCGGTGTCTCTCTCTCTATATGTATATGTTCATGCACATGTATGTATTTTCCAGAAAATGCAGTTTTAAATGATCCTATCTGAGCTGAGAGCACATAGCAAATGCCAAAGCAATTAGTGATAAACAAGGTCCTAACACGCCAAAATTAAAAGCTGCTAATTTTCAACTTTAAATAAATCCTTATTGTATAGCAGAAATAATTCCTCATAAAGCGTTTCCAACATTCAGAGAATGCTTTTAGGACATACAGCATTAACATAATTTTTTCGACTGGGGTTCTCACAGGACATCTGATGAAGTCTCTACCCTTAATTTTAATTGCGTAGGCTGCATTCTTAATTAAAAACTGTACAAATGGATTTTATGCCATGCCAAAAGAAATCTGAGTTCATTAGTTATAAAACCTTTTAAAAATTGATGTAAATATGTGAATTCTTTAAAAGTTTGAACTTGGAGTCCTCATTTTATGTTGAGTAGCCTTTTATCTAGAGAATAATAAAGCCAATACAAATTAAGATAGTCTGCATTTTTCATCGTCCTCTTTTTTTTCTCTTCCCTTTTCCTTCGTGTGTGTGTGAGAGTTTGTGGGTGGTGGGAGTCGGTGTGGGGTTATGTCTTTATGTCGTTATGCTTTTCCTTGAAGAATCAAATTCATTTAAATCTAAATTGTGAAGAAAATTAGAGTGGGAAACGCACTGACCCCTTTGTACTGGGTTATATAAATATAAGTTCATATATCTTTTATTAATTCTTCATATTAAAACACCATCACAGCATCTCAAGCCCATAAACGTAATGGAAATCTGTCAAACTGTAACTTCAGAGGGAAACTCTGGACATCACTTAAGGAAATATGTGCACCTTATTGATTTTTGTTTTAAAGTACGTGAGTTGTTAATTAAAATGCTTTTCCATAACTTGTCAAGCCTTCAAGTAATGAATGGGAAACTGCAAGACATTCACTGAATCAGATCGGTTGCTACTGTTCCCTTTGGCTGGAGGCTCCTCTGACTGCACCAACCCGACGTTGGTGTTGGTTGCACAAAATACCACATGTACAATCACAGGAATGGGACAGAAGTCAACTTATCCTGTCTTTTGTATCCATCTGCAGGATGTCACCATTAGACCCAACCTCTGTGCCCACCTTTGGTCACACCAAGCTGTGCACCATCAGCAGCAGCGCTGTTATCTTTCGTATCCAGGCTTTTGGCAAAGGATAAATAGAAAAAGTGAAATTTAAACAGTGGTATTGCCTCTAAACTTTCAAATCCAGATTATATAACAGTTTAATAGGGGGATAAAAAAAAAGAAAAAGAAAAAGAAAGCAAATTAAACAATAAATAAACCAACTTTTACACAGAACCACTCTGTTTCTTTTCATCCTCTTCAGTGGTTTCTGCTTTTGAGCATCTCTCTGCCACTGGACCTGACCGAGCGTGGCAGCCGGCGTGTTCAAATACCACATGAAAAGCTCTGTAAGTGCTTGTGACATTTACAACAGGAGCCGAGACAGGAAGCACCAGAAATCTCACAGGAGATACGTTCTCATGGGTTTCTAACCCAATTTGGCACAGTGAAGAAGTTCAACTGGGCAACATTGGAGTATTTTTTTTTTAAGGAACATAGTTCAGGCAACAAAACCATTCTACCTTTTGAGGTTTGCCCACTACCACTTCTTACAGATCATGGAAACCATATTCCAGTACAGTTAAATGTTTTGTGTTAGAAACACACCATACTGGAAGGAACGTTGGCTATCCATCACCATTAACCTCCACCTTCTCCCCCAGATTCAGCTATCCAGTACAACAGTAGGCTGGAGGGAATGGGGTTATTCATCAGCAGACTAAGGCAAACAGACTTCTCCACATACACAAACTTCTTTTATTTGACTGTTTTACTATTTGAAATTTCTGAACACATTCATAAGGCTTACCATGAGAAACGAGCCAGAAGGAATCGCTGGATTTAATACTTTAAGGAAGCAGGCAATTGTAAATTTGCTTTAACAAGGTCCAACAGTGCTGCTGGGGCTAGAGTGAAATGTGACATTACAAACACCACCATGATCCACTTGGAAACGTGTGTTTTATTATTTTATTTTCCCTAGCAGAGAAGAGAGCCTAGGGCCAGACCAACTCGGAGACGTTGCATCAGCACAGCAGGTCAAGTGAACACTGAACCTGCAGCAAGCACAGAGCTGCATCCTTAGACTCCCTCCTTTCCAGAAAATTAAGTGAGGTCACTCAGAAAGCAGAGAAAGAAGAGGAGATGTAGACTGTACCCCATCCTACACATCCTACACATCACAGTGATTTATACTAAAATTAATGGCATTCAGCTGCTCACAAGCTCCGTTCCCACAGCAGCAGGAATGTTGCACGCTGACTGGTAAGCAGTGCATGATGTCCAACCTCAGCAAATACAGGAGGAGGAATATGAGATTTCCACAGGAGAACCTTTACAATCTTTCAGTTGTGGTATTCTTTTAAGTTTGTGCTGGGTAAACAGAGAAACGTGAGACACAAAATTGGTTTATTTCCCTTTCAAAGTGCAAAAGCAGCTTCGTCAAGAGCACAGTTCAGTCCGCATTTATCTCATCTAGCTTTAAGACCTCAAACTGAAATTGAATTTAATTCTATAAAGGCAGACTTGCTGTATGGTCCCAGAAGAAAATCCAGTTTCTGAACACTCAAAATATTGCTTTCAAAGAACAGCAAAAGGTTTCATCTGCAAAATGGCAGATGGATCCATAAACTCTTGATTCATGCACCTATTTCATAGCAGCCAACCTCATTTCTCCTGCGATAACTGCACTGTGAATGAAACCACAACATGTTTGCTAAGCAAATCCTTGGCTTCTTGTTTATAGTAGCATACCACTTTTTATGCCAGCTCCATGGTCAACCCAGGAGTGAAGAAAAACATTTGTTCTACAGAAAAATTCACAGAAATGGACACAAACAGACCCATATAATTGATAGTTTTATGAGATTGAACTCTGTAAATTTTTTTAATCTTATCCCTGTCGATCCAGTTTATGTGCACATTTGAACAATGACTTCATATCCTTTCCAAGCAGAGATTCTGGGATGCAGTCTCCTCATTTGGCCAACACAAATCCCCAACTGCCAAGAATTTCTAGTTTTGTATTTTGCATTATATTTGCCTTTTACATGCTCCTTTACAGGATTCTTAGTCAAACCATCCAGCCAGTGGAACGATTCCAGTTTGCACCAAAGGAAGATGTGCAAATCCCTAAAAAAAATTAAAGATATGCTTGCATTTTTTGCTATCTCTGTCTCTCGTGGTACAGAATATGACAGCAAGTCTTTAATCTGTATGCATCATGAAGGCACAACTTATGGAAAAGTTCAATGACTGAAATGTTTTCTTCGTTGGCCGTCTTCACCAGCAAACTAGAACAGCTGCCTGAATTGTAGACACCTTACCATGTATTAAGTTGAAATTAGTTCTCTGCTCTGCCTTCTCGGCCTCAAGGGCATATGAACATGGTACTTCATTATGAAACATTTTTTTGGGGTGGGTTATGGGGGTATTTTGGCCACTACCTGGGAATCTTTTAACAGTTTTCCTTCTTCCAGCATCGCGTTGCGTCAGGAAGCTGCACTGCCCAAGACAGAACAGAGCACTTTGTGGTGAGACAGGGGCTAGGTCTCTGCTAGGGGTTAAGGAACCTATACCAATTCCCACTAGAAAACAGTGTTTTGCTGCCACTCCTGTCATTTCTCTGCATGTTCATCTGCCTGTGCAGGGTATGCTGAGAGGAAGGAAGGTGGTGGAGTGGTGGTCCTTTTATGACTGAGGGCAATGTGGGCAGTTTAGCATGCTGTTAAGCCTGACGTAATTAGAGGGGGGTGATATGAAAATAAACCAAACATCTGGAAGGTAAAAGTATCTTGGAAAGAATTCACATTGGCTCATGTGGACATGCTAGCTATCTATCCTGGTGTCTTTAACAAAGCTCAAAAGCAGCTTTTTTCCTTATCACAATGGGTCCAGGCCAAACAGGGATGAGTAGACTCTCCATTCTCTTCTTAAACCACCTGGAAGTGTTTTAATATGCTGTTATACTGTTTTGTTCATCACTTTAAAATTTTCTTCGTAGATATAGGGGACGTCTGAGTTAATGAGAGGGCAGTGAGATATCTGAAAGATCAGGGAACCAAACTAGATGTGCACATCAGTAAAAGTGTCTGGACAGGTGGGACCACACCATCCAATGCCATGCCACAGCCCAGCAGATCCAAGCTTTCTGATGCAGAGATGTGAGGTGGTGAATGTGACTTATCCCAACAGAATCCCAACCTCAAACCCCGAGTTGATCAGTTTCACAGCTTGTTAATGTTTTCTCAGAATTCCTATCTTGTTATTTTAGTTCCCAGACCCCCACCCCCACCAAACCTATAAATAGATCTCTGTTCTAGAAATAAACTGCTTATTTTGCATAAGATATATTGTCTGGAATACAATTTATTTTTTATCACAAGGAACAACTGTCCTATTGCACTAGCATGTATTTTTCCTTGGGTAATTAATGCACCAGTTTCAATGAGAGATATGCAGTGCAGATACAGGACATATGTTAGTGCAACTAACCGCAGTGTTCCAGAAATCATAAATACAGAGTTTCAGTACTTACATGTCTGTTATCAGCACGGTTCTCTAAAAAGAATGTTACTTATTTTCTGTTGCTAGTATTTTAAGTGATACTGAAACCTTAATTATTTACTGAAGTAGGCTGAAATCCCCCTATCAGCCGTGAACATTTCCAAACATGAATGGACCAGCAGGACTCTAATTCGCCAATCCTAAAAACAATCCTACGATTGCACAAAAGAATCCTCCTAATCAGTGTAGAGAGGAGCTATCTCAGAACAAGCAAAATGTTCACTTACTTATTTAGCATCTTCCTTCCATGATTCAAACTGGCACAAGAGCCGGGCAGCTCAAGAGAGTGAGGAGAACGTGGCCACGAGAGGCTTTTAATTTATTGGCGGCTCTTGCCCTACTGTACAGCCGCTGCTGCCATTTGAGTGTAATGGATGAAACAGATGTTTGACACTGCAGCACCTCTTCATAACTTCACTCTTCAAAAACAGTTTTACAAGTGCTCACTCGCGTTGGTTCCCATTCAGCACAGGAAACTGAGGTCATGGTGAAACATGAGGCCCGGGCAGGAGCCTGAACTCATGTGCACTGCAGCTGGGCCCGCGCCTTCCGAGCACGTTAGCAATTTATGAAGCAGTCATAATTTTCAACCTACGGACAAAGAAATAAAAGTGTTGACACCCGTATTGTAACATCTGTGAAGGGAAAAATACGAGCCCGTTGCTAAATTCAAGAATTATGGAGGGTTTCTTTTGCAGTTAATTTTGTTCATTATCAGATGTGATTATTTTTAATAGGGGAAAAAAAAATCCTCAGGTTTATGTATCAATACTGAAAAGTTACTTTCT